CAGAGTTGTAAAGCGTTTAGGACAGTACCTGGTGCACGGTCAGCGCTATATTGAATCAGTACCTGTGGTTATTTCTCCCTATGCAGTAGGATGATCGTATTAAACCCACATATTCCACAAGGTCTCCCTTTATGTCCAAGTGCAAGGGACAGAATGGAACCATTGATGTAACTCGACTTTATTAAAGTCATCACTCTTAGAACAGCCTCTTGGCAGGGCACGCAGGTGTTTGAGGTCCTAAGCCTCTCTTAGTGATCACTAATGCTACATCCATTTTGTCAAAAAGACCATCAGTGTTTTCCTAAGAATAATTCCCTTCCAAAGAATCATCAGCTGGCGAAACTCCAGCCTTTTCAAGATTATTGTATTCAAACAGTTGAACCACTCAGTCAACCGTGTGATTGAGCCTAAAAGCCAAGAGAACCCGTCAGCATGCTCGGTGGGCATGTGGCTGGCGTATGGCTGGTGTGTTGCTGACATGAGGCTGGTGTGATGCTGACATGTGACTGGCGTGTGGCTGACATGTTGCTGATGTATGGCTGGCATACTGCTGGTGTGTGGCCGGGCTGTGCTCAGGGACCCACCAGCAGGCAGAGGGCTGATCCTGGCAGGTAAGTTCTGTACTATTGATCAGGCAACTTTAACAGTGACTCAGCTCATGCATCAGTCGATCGATTTAGCTTTTTGTTCCTTGGGAAATACAGATGTAGAAGCCCTTCAGAATCCCAAATCTGTGTCATTTTTCCCACTACCAGCATTTTAAGAAGGTTTGTTCCTATACTAGTCCTGAATTCTTTTGTTCTGGCTGAAAAAATCTGCAAAATGAGGCCAGTGCCTTTTTCTCATCTTCGGTCAACACCAGCCTGAACCAGGCAGGAATAATTAGAAATGGGCATGAGTCATTGTGAGGTTGAGAGGAGGATGCTCGTAGGCGGTGTCATTGTCCTTACATCTCCAGAGGGCCAGGCGTGGCTTCTTCCGTCGCCTTCAGCTTCTACCGCTGCATGAAGTCACCGAACAGAATGCCGCCAGGCCTGCAGAAAGCAGCTTACACAACCGAGGGAAGGGAAGGCTAAGCCTTTGCTCAGGATGGGATTGTCAGCAATACCGGTGGCACCGACAGTGACCCCTGGCATCCTGATGGTGGCAAATGGTGCAGGAGGAAGGTCCCGGGGATGATAGATTCTGCGATGTTCGTAAATATGCTTCAGATGAAGATCCGATCGTGCATCAGGGACAAACATCACTCACTTGTAATCATGGTGCCGTTAAATAAGACTTTTTATTTTATGCTTCCAGTTTTTCCATTTGCTCTTAAGGAATTGGTTCACCAGATTTCCAGATTCAAATGTGTGAAGGTAGACATTCCCAAACAAGATGCACAACAGAGACCGGAAGACAGAGCAACACTGACTGTCTAGGGGCATCCTTGCGCCCTGGACTCTTAATGGGCAAAGCTGCCTCCCAAAGCGCAGCCCTTCTTTAGGCCTTTGTTGCCTTCATTCGCTCCTTCCCCCTACACACCCCTGCTCTGCCGCCTGGGAACTTCCTGCCCCAACCACAGTATTGAATACCTACCCGGTCCTGCCCCCTACAGTGAGACTTAGCAGAGAGCAACAGCATACGGAGTGCGGGTCACTGTTCTCTGCTGCACTGGCTTGTTGTCCTCACAACACCGCCGCGTAGGTGCTGGGGGCACAGGGTGGTGTCACTGCCCCCCAGCAAAACGCAGGAAGCACGCGGAAGGAAAGGTTGCCATTCCGGCAAGCCGCCGTGGGCGGGACTTACAAAGGACTTGCCGTGGGAACTGGGCTCGTGCTAGGTACTGGGGCGGAGGGTTTAAGGGGGCAGAGCTTTGCGCGGGGTTGGGTGCTATCGGGAAGGAGGAGCAGCTCTGTGACTAGGGATCTTCACCAGCCTGTTTTACGTGGGAGGGGAACGAAGTGATGCTGAGGCTGTACTCGGTAGCAAAGCAGCCCTCACACCAGCCATGCTGGGGCTGTCTGCTCACTTCTGGGGCTCGGACGATGCTCACGTTTTGTCCGGGTTCGCCTTGCACGGAGCGGTCTTGTTTTTGTTTTGATCCACCCCGGACGGTCACGGGTGGCCCCGTCTGATGTCCGCGTCCTGGAAATGGCTTATGTTTAACAGATCGCCTGGGCTCAGCCGCAATGCCAGGCCTGTTCCTGGAAATGTCATGGCCAAGCTGACGGTCGCATGCCAGCTTCTGGACAATAGGGACTACCTGTCTCTCTCTTAGTGGTGTAAATAAGGTGAGGCACTTGTCCAAACTCATACAGCCCATGAGCTGAAGATGCGGAATGTTAATACAACTCTATCTGGTCTCAAAGCCCAAACTCTTAACAACGATTTGATCTCATTTTGCTTTCATGAAACTTCTGTTTTCATCTCCCTGGATTTCTCAAGGAAATCCAACCAAGTATCCTGGCATCTTCTGTGCGCAGAATTGCATTGAATCTTAAGAACAACATTGGCCACTGACCTCAGTGAGAACCCAAGCCTGATAGGACCTAAGCCCACTCTGTTTCAAGGGCAGCCTCTCGTCCTCCGCGTCGCACTCCTGTGTCAGAAGTCAGATTGTGTTCAGGTGTCACATCCATGCTACAAACACCTCTAGTCAGCGCTTTCCAGGCTTCCGGCTCCAGCACCCTCGTTTGGTGGAAGGGCCTGTGGAAACATGGAGGAGGTAGGAGGAGGGTCGCTGTTCCTTCCACGGGGCCTCCCTTCCCGTGGAGCCTTTTCACGAACACTCTGCAGATCCAGAGAGGAAGTTTAAAGGTGGCACAATCATTCTGCTCTTGACACTACACTGCCCCAAACCTCTGGTTACTCTCCTGCCCCGTGGGGACCCCTCGCCAGCCATTTAAGGCACCCTGTGATCTCACCTCTTCCTATTCTTTCCCCGTAACGCCTGCATATACATGCACTGCTCTGGCTGCGTAGAGTGACACGTCACTGTTTGAGCATCACTGTTTGTGCGCAGCTGCTGTGCTCTGCTTACACCTCCCTGCCATCACCTGCTAAAGGTTCAAGTTCATGAGCAGTAAAAACAGACCTGGAGAAGCAAGTGGGAATGTTCTGAATCATACATCTAAGATAGCCTGACTGCTGTGACCACTCAACTAGCCACGAATGGGTTCTAAAGAATGAATTCTATGTCCTCACACTTGTGACAGAGTGTCCGGAATCTGTTAAAGTAATATTGTTCATGGATAAAGACTCCCGCCACATCTGTTCCTTGATTTGAATGACTCTTTAACCCTTTAGGGCAAGGGTGTAGTAAGAAACATCCTCAGAAGGCAGAGGGAAGGTGGGCCTTGGTCTAGCCCCCCCATATTCATACGCTTGCACCCCTGTCCTGCTCAGCTCCGATCGCATCCCCGTCAGCCTCAGTGCCTTAGCACACGCCTGCTGTGCCTGACATGCTCTGCCTTCTCCCGCTTCCTTAACCTCTGATTGTCCTGGGTGTGTTTGTCCATCCAAGTCTAGGAATCTCGAGCAAAGAATTACTTGCCAGGTGCACAAAGACATATGCACAAGGATGCTCATTGCTTTATTTTCGAGTTAGGAAATAAAATAGGGACAAGTCCATGGGCAGGTCAGGTAACTTGCTGTGACTATCTATTCTGCTGTTAGTACGGAGCTGATAAGAGGACACCAGACGGGTACAGATGAATGTGGAAGATCTCCATGACACACTACTGGGGAGGCTTAGGGGCCAAGGTCACACGGTGGGTGACCTCTCCTGCAATCCTGAGCAGAGTCTCGAGTAGGGGGCTGGAGGACGAGATAGGAGGGGAGTTTAGCATCGGTGAACCCCAGCTCCCTAAAGGGTGAAGGCATCCCTACCAGAGCCCTTACTGGGTGTTCAGATCATAAACCATGTGTATTTGCACTGTCCTCTCATGACCAAAACTTCGCTTTGTCACTTTTATTGACGGAAGCAGAAGTCATGTGTAATTTTTACAAGGCAGCACTGGACCCAAATGAAGCCAGGGCTGCTGTGATCCTGGGTGTATTTGGTCAAGGTAAGAAAACCTGCACTCAAATTCGTCATCTACTGCTCACTAGATCTCTAGTATTTTTCTTGTCTGTGAGACCTTTATTTTTCTTGATTGTGAATCTTAGGAGGTGGGCAAAATAAGCTCTATGGTCCCTTTTTTTTTAAAGATTTTAGAGAGGGAAGGGAGGGAGAAAGAGAGAGAGAGAAACATCAATGTGCGGTTGCTGGGGGCCGTGGCCTGCAACCCAAGCATGTGCCCTGACTGGGAATCGAACCTGCGATGCTTTGGTTCGCAGCCCGTGCTCAATCCACTGAGCTACGCCAGCCAGGGCAATGGTCCCTTTTTTGTATGGTTCCAGGTCTGTTCCTCTTGAGGCTTGGGCAGCATTGGTAGGAATATTAATTGCAATACTTTTTAGTGAATACTGTAAGATGGGCACTCTTCTCAGCCCTCTACATGCAGGCCTGGAGAATTATAGCAACTCTTCAGAATAGATACTATCACGTCTGTTTTGTGGAAGAAGAAAATGAAGCCCAGAGACTTAAGTTTCTTGTCCAAAGTTACACAGCTAGAACGTCGTGGAGCTGGAACTTCATCCCAACCAGTCTGACTCCAGACTCCGTGATCTAAATCACTGGGTTGTGCTGCAGTTAAAAGTCAGCCTTTGTATGCCTAATGATTTAAGTATTCACACCAGAAATTAGTGTTAAGGAAACGAGTCTGAAGAGCTGATGTGAAAAGTGTACGTGAATGTGGGAAAATTACTTGTAAGAGCCCAACTGCAAAAGGAAAGCAAAATTTTACATTTTAACTGTCTTTATGAGGTGTCATTTTCTTATACCACATTGTGACATACTTCTGTATAAGAGTACAAAAAAAAGCCTCACTACTACTTTATTCTTGTGCATTTTTTTTCTCGGAATCTAACGCCATCAGACGCACGTGGCATTGATGCTTCCGATTTTAATTTCACAGATGAAAGAACTCGGTGTCATCTTCTACAACTGCAGCTGCCTGGTCCTAGACTTACAAAGGATATTCGCGTTATATAGTTCATTAAAATTCAAGAGCAGAGTACCTCAGACCTGGTCCAAGCGGCTCTACGGAGTCTATGACAATGAAAAGAAACTGCAGCTTCAGTTGAACGAAACCAAATCTCAAGCGTTTGTGTCGGTGAGTTGCCCCCCTTCTCCCCCGCCTCTCCCCCTCCACGGGCCCTGTATTAAGTTGGAATATTTGAGTGTGACCTTATGCTGGGCAAAAATGAACTCGGCAGATCCGTTGTGCTGCATTCCTTGAAGAGTTCCCGTGTGTCTGCTCTTATGCTCAGTCGCATGCTATCTCGGTGATGTTGACCATCCTGTGATGATGACAATAATAAATATTTAATAACCATTCCAGATACTTTGCACTAACTGACTTGACCCTCACCACTGTCCCTGAAGGGAGACCCAGGATGGAGAGCCACCAGCTCCCAGGGCTTCCACACCAGTTCCTCTCTTTGATGCCCTGCATCACTGATGCCCAGACTTGTTTTTAGCAATCGGACCCTCTGATGGAACGAATCTGAGAAAGCCCCAGTGTGTAAAGCAGACGAAAGCGGAGCTATTGTACAATACTTACTGGAAGCTGGAGGGCAAGAGACCCACCCAGAGGGGAAGACCCCTAGCAAAGGTCTCAGGCCTCTGACCTCCCTGAAAAACCACCACCCCACCCACCTTCGCCCACCTCGCCTGCCACCCCTCCACCCACTCACCGCCCTGCTGCCTACAGGCCCCAGCTATCTCCACCGTGTTACTGGCTGTGGCCTACAGCCCTGTCGTCAGACTTTAAAGTGTTCCAGAACCAGCTGGGGACCCCGTTTAAAACACAGACTTACAGCCTCCCCGTCCTTACCCAGGACCCAATCATGGCACCTTGGGTGAGACCTGGGAGTTTTGAGTTGCATCCAGCTCCTGAGTAGATCTGATGCTTAGAGAAACTTCTAAGTTTTAACGTGGCTGTTTCTCCATTGATTGATATCAGTGCTTTTGTGCCAACGACTTTTACATCACTGAAGGGCATTTCATTGAAGAGTGATTTGTGTCCTTTTAGCCTGTTACAATGAAAGCACGCTTTTCCACCATCTTTCCGTGCCAACATAATGGTGCACGTGGAGGTCCTGGCTGATGCTCTCAAGAGCATCAGTAATGCTGAAAAGAGGGGCAAACGCCAGGTTCTTTCTCATGGGGCCGTGCTGCAGCATCAGCGTTTGGTTTCTGACCATGATGATGAAACATGGCTACCTCGGCAAGGCAATAGCAAATGTAGAGACCAGCCACTCTGTACCTGAGTGAGTTCCTCCTGGAAAACAAACCCGCCTTCTGGGATGTGCAAGGAGCTCAGGAAATTCCTAGCTGAAACAGAAATTGGGCATTTGGACACCTTTCAGGGATGCTTTAGGATCCCCTCCAGAGTTTACATCCTCTTCTTCCACACGCTAACCTGATGGACATTCCAGGCAGAGCCAGCAGGCTGAGGGAATAAAATAGCGTGATTGCTTAATTTATGAATAGAGGTAAAAATGAGTAAGACAAAATCCCTAAAATCAAGCTAGGAACAGTCTAGGCAGGGAGATGAGGCAAGGGCAAGTTTATAAGTTGGAATATGCTGAACAGTTTAACAAGAGCATCCTATGATGGAAGGAAAGCAGAGGGAGACATGGCCCCTGGGTGGGGGTGTAAGAAAGTTTCATGGGGGAGATAGCATTTGAACAGGAACTCAGAGAATGTACAGGAGTCTCATAGGCAAAAATACAGAAGCACATCAGCCAGAGGGCTACTGGTGCAGAGACGCAGAGCCAGACGAGGTGGGAGACGGCTGTGGGGTGGCAGTTCTTTCCACTTGGGGTGCAGATGGCGTGGTAGCCGGCTAAGGAGGGAGGCAGAGAAAGAGACGAGGCTGTGGATACGTCCCTGCCAACGAGACCAGACTGGGCTCAGGGACCAGGAGCCCTGAGAGTGACACGTGTTTGTTTTTCCACATCATAGAAACCAGAAAGTGAGTTAGGGGGACATGCAGGAGCCCCCACGAGCAGCACTGGTGCCCAAATGAGGGAACCGGCCATCAGGAGCAGGGGGGACAATGCAGGAGACACTATAGGAACACCGGCCTTCTGTCTTGGTGACAGATGGAGTATCTGTGTCTGTGCTGGGGAGAGTGTGGACCCAGCATTGGTTTCTGTTTGGTTGGTTTTTATTTTTTATTTTCTTGTTGTTTCTTGGGGTGGAGGATTGCTTATTTTTTATTCTTTTTTAAACTTTGGAGCTCATCTTCATTCCAAAAGAAAAATATCGTAAATGATCAGAATCCCATTCTGATACTCACCTGTCAAGGTGGCTCTCTGGGCAAGGACACCGGGAGGGTGTGTGACCCTCAGCCCTCTCCTTTCTTCCCCCTGTCCTCCTCGTCCGGACACCAGGCCAACAGCTCCATCTTCCCTCTGTCCGAGCTGGGATGGGGTCCCCGCCAGCACCGTGTGGCTGTTGGCCCCCAGCATCTGAAGAGGAACCCTCACCGCCATCGCAGGGGAGCATTTGATGAGCGGCCCAGTACGGGCTTTCCGGGCAGTTCCGGAAGCTGTTTATTGGGCCTTTAGATGTTAGGCGCCTCTTACATTTTTTGCACTTAGCACTCGCCACAGCCTATTGCTTGTCAGAGGAAGACACAGGCTACAGAAACACCATTTTCAGTAGAAAAACAATGAGACACTCAAAGTACATCTTTCCCTTTCTATAGCAACTTGGTCTAAAAACACCATTCGCTTTTTTAAAGATGGAAAAACTACTTTGAACAAGAGTAAAATATACCTCAAGTATAATTTGCCTCTTTTTCATTTTGTTTTCAAGTCTTTCAGAGTATCTTCTTTTCCACTGTCTCTCCTGACGAATTTGGGCATCTTAATAGATCTCTCAGGTTTTCCTCTGGAATTATTGATGATCCTTTCTCAACTACCAACACTCCTCTTCCTGACCTAATGAAAGATTAGGCGGAAGGAAACAAGCTTTTTAGATTGTACTGAATGTTTTTATGGCCACATTACCTTTCCGATGAAACAACTTCTAGGGTAAAGTGCTCGCTATATGTATTATATGGTAATGCCTGAGGAAATTTACAGCTATGAACTCCAGGGTCACATAAGTGCAGAGTTGGGGCATTTCTCCAAAAATCAGAGATGTGTGTATGGAAAGCAAGAATTCCCCCCAAAATAGACTTAAAGGACAGATTTGAGACCGATTCTGCCACACTCCAACCTCTACACACCTCAACTCTGATTAGATTGAAAACACATGTGTCTTTTCTCATAGAGAACTGGAAAATAGGTTTACAAACATTTAGTGAAAGTCAAGATCCATTAAAACAGACTTTTTAAAAAAACAACAACAAAAAGAGAAACTCCCAGATGACAAAAGTTAATACTCTAAAAGTTTGGTTTTTGTGTCTTCACAGAATTCTCCCAAACTCTTTTGTCCTAAAAACAGAAGCTTTGACATCGACGCCATCTACAGCGTGATAGACGACGCCAAGCAATACGTGTACATCGCCGTCACGGACTACCTGCCTATCTCCAGCACAAGCACCAAAAGGTCAGGGCGTGCGTGACCTTGACTTAGAACCTGTCCCCAGGGCCAGACACTAAACAGGGGACTTCTGGAGAAACCAGCCCGGACGCTGCAATGCTATCAGATGATGTTGGCTTGCTCATCATTCAAATCGGCTGAGTGTGCATGTGCAGGTTACCCAGGATGCATCCCTTCCCTCAGTCCATTGTGAGGACTCAGGGTCTCACCCTACACAAGTACCACAGTAGTTTACATTAGAGGCATAAGAACAACTTCAGAATGAAGAGCGGGTTGTTTTCAACTTGAAAATTATTTGAAAACTAAAATAAGTGGGAAATAAAATAGCATTTTTTAAAAAAAATTGAAGAATATTAGTTGGGATGTGCCTAAATGACTTACTACAATGGAATAGGTCTGGCAAGAGTTTCCTTAAAGGGCGTCCCACCCTGTTGTATGCATGTCAGTCTTCATCAAACGCTGAACTGTCATAATACCTTTCCACTTAAAGGGCAAGGAAACTTAAAATACGTATGTTGTCTGTCAATCCATCCCTCTGCATGAGGAAGGGAGCATCTTAAAAGTGGAGAGGTTTTTCAACGATTCCTCATTGTTTCAGTGTGGAAATACACTGGATAAACCTAGGGGCAGACTGCACGCTCCTACACCACTGAGTGCGGGAATTCGTGGCTGCGCCCCCAATATTTCTCACTCTGGCTTTCTTGCTGGGAATGCAGAGATTCGGGTGCCTTGGGATGTTTTTGAATAATACACTCAATCCAGGAAAAGTGTTCCAAGTACACATTTCTGGGAGTACAACCTGAGACCTTTTTTAATTTGGAAAATTGCAATTTCAAAATAACCATTTATTGAGGTTAGGTGATTAAGAGTGCCCTACATGGCTTGAGTATTTTCCACGTTTCCAACTGCACATATGCATAATATGCAGCTTATTTGTGCTAATGACTATAGGATTACAAAAGGCGTATTTCCCCAGAAAGGGATTATTCCTAATGACCGTTGAAAAGCATTTTAAAGTGCACATTATTAAAACACATCTACTTTTAAATATTGGGTATCTTTTGAACATTCATGGTTTTTTTTTCACATCTTTTTAAACCCTCTTTTTCATGTTTTAATGTTTTTTTTAAGATTTTATTTATTTATTTTTAGAGAAGGAAGGGAGGGAGAGAGAGAGAGAGAAACATCAATGTGTGGTTACTGGGGGTCATGGCCTGCAACCCAGACATGTACCCTGACTGGGAATTGAACCTGCGACACTTTGGTTCGCAGCCCGTGCTCAATCCACTGAGCTACGCCAGCCAGGGCCTGTTTTAGTATTTTTTAATTCATTGTTTACTTGGTTTTAGATTTAGTTCTGTACTTCAGCTTCACTTGGGGAAGATTTTGAAACATAACAGATAGGTTTCACCTGATTTTATCATTCAGAAGAACATTGTCAAGGTTTGGTTAGGGTTGGATGATGATTCCTCATGACTGACAAAATCTTCATTCCACAAAGTTCCACAAACAAAATTAAGATCCCTTCATGGCCAAGGAGAAGGATTAGTGATTATAAAATATTTTGGAAATATAAAAGTTAGAGAAAACTAAAAGAATGTTAAAGAACTGAGAACGTAACCTGAAATTTTGCATTTTCATTATTAATCGACCATTTCAGCTCTTAGTCCATGAGCATTTTCATCATACTTTGGTATTTCAAAACTTCTAATGCCTCCAGCATTCAAAATGAAAAGTCATCAGAGACCTAAGAAGTAGTTCAAACATCCAGGTTATAATTAAATTCTATGAATAAAAAATACTTTTAAAGTCAGGCTGGTTACCTGTCTTTAAATCATCCTGGAAACATTTTTTTTTACTTTAGCTCTAAAGACGCATAGAGCAGAAGCTCATGCTGGGGACAGTTAGCAAGAGAAGGGCGGGTTGAGCAGGGTTTGGGGAGAGAGCAGTCACTCACGGCTCCTCACGAGCTCTGTCGGGAAGTCGATTCTTGGCACAAAGGTAGGTTTGGAGGTGCAGAGAGGGTGGCACACGGCAGTGGTCAGTCTATCTGTGCCCTCTGCCCACGTAGCCCAAAGCCTTGTGGGGGGACTCTTTTGTCCAGGGACAGGTCTATATCGTCCCTCGGTGCCCTAACCCAACAGGCTTGCATTTTTTCAACGTATCCTACAAGGTCATGTACATATCGCAGGACAAAGTAATGATCAGATTCACATCAGTGTTCTCGAAAGTCTAGTTCATTTACTTTCCAAAACTGACTTGCTTTCTTTATTTTTATCCATGTGAATATTATTTCCACAGGACTTACTGGCCAGACTTGGATGGGAAAATAAGAGAAGCGTTAGTTTTGCGAAGCGTTAAAGTTCGACTCCTCATAAGCTTCTGGAAGGAAACCGATCCCCTTACATTTAACTTCATTTCGTCTCTTAAAGCTATTTGCACTGAAATAGCCAACTGCAGCCTGAAAGTTGTAAGTACTGTGTTGACTTGGTTATTCATGAAAACTAGTTTCTTCCCTTTGCACACCTGTGAAAGCTATAAGCACACACATACATATACACTCTCAATAAGAACTAGAATAACAGTCTTTGATAGTGAAAGACTCTGGAAAAGGTAGGGTAGGCAATTTCTCAAAACAGTCACAGCCCCCAAAAGGAGACTAGAACGCAACTTTCCTGGCACACTCAAGAGTCTAGCCCCCCTTGCACACACTTCCTGTTGTGCCCTTTCCATTTCCTGTGAACGGCCTCCTTCACCCGCTAGTCTTCTGGGTAAGACATGCCCAACAGAGCACTGGGCCTCGCACCAGCGCAGACTCGCCCAGCCTTGGAGTCCCCTTAGTCTGGCTTCCTGCCCTCGCTCCAGGTCTCTTGGGCCTCATGCTAACCCAACGCTCCCTGCCCCGAAGGAGGCAAGACTGGAAATTGTTATACTCTGGACATGCTGAGTCTCTGGCGCAACTTGGACCCTCCTCTGGTCCTCACATGGGCATTCCCTTCCTCCCCACATGCTGTTCCCTCTTCCTGCAACACCCTTCTTCTCCATGCTCCAGCTGACCCACGCCCGCTAATCTTTTAGCCCAGACTCGACTGCAGCCATTCAACAAGTGTGTGCCTTGAGAGCCTACTGTGCCAGGCCCTCCCCTTAGGGGCCCAGGATGACAGGGGCTCTTCTGTCAGCTCTGACACACGGCTTCCAAGATTCCTGAGCCTCAATGTCACAGAGCTAACCGGAAGGAGAGAGAGACTGCAGGCCTGTATGCGTTAGGGGGTGAACGTGCCCATAGACTCCATCCTCCGCCCAAGTATGACCCAGCCAGCCGCACACGACTGTGAGGGAGGCCTGGGAGTGTGGTCAGAAAGGTGGCTGTATTCCCAAGGACACAAAGGGACAGCTTTGTAAGTGGTCACGGTCTGAAAGTTGGGGCACCCAGTGCCCGTTTTACACTTTTCCCACATGGAAGCTGGTGGGCCCCTCATGCTCCCTGTGTAGCTCCCCAGGGGTGTGGCCTCCTCGACAGCCAGTCTGGGCGTGATGCCTCCTGTCCCAGTGACACAGAAACTAACAACAACGACAGCAACCCCTAAACCTCCAAATCCAGATTGAAGTTACTTTCTTCCCACACAACCAGGACAGGACAGGGACCGTCAACACTCCCACTTCCTGACCCCTACCTGCCACTGAGGCCCTGTCCGCTCGAACCTCTGGTGTGAAAGGTCAAGGGCTCTCCTATAACACTCGTAATAAATGACCAGGAAAGTGGGATCCACCACTTTAACCTCCACAGAGCTTAGCCGGTTTCATCCGTCCAATGCTGACGGCCGTATCGTTTGAGCAAACCACATGTCCGCAGCTCACTGTTGGACATTTTACAAAACAGAGACCCCAAGCTCTGCTGAAGCCAGGCCATGCCCTTCTAAGCATCCCACAAAGACGAGGTAGAGAAGGAGCTTGCGGCCCCCACATCTAGGGCACGGATGGGTGAGGAGCTTTTCTAAGCAGGGTGGGTATCGGAACTTTGCGTGAGGCGTGGCTGCAGGAGTCGGGGGGCACTGACGAAGCAGATGGGCTGGGGTCAGGGCAGAGCACCCGTGTCCTTTGAGGAGGAGGCACCCACCCCTCACTTAGTGGGTCTTACCCACGAGGGGGCTCATGGGAAGACATTGCAGCTCACCAAGGTGTCCACGTGAGCTGGGTTTTCATTTTTTAATTCACTCACAGATCACTTTTAAAATGTCTTTGCTGTCACAGCATATTCAGTGCCTGACATTTTGTCGGGGAATACAATATAATTTCTACTGTCATGTTTGTCTCCCAGATAAAGCTGTTTCCCCTCTTTTGGACCGTTTTTGACTTTCTAGAGCAAATGGGCTCTCGGTAAAGCTGCAAGCTGTGATGTTGTCCCTGACTTAAATTAGGATGTATATTTTGTTCTCTTTTGAATCTCTCTCAATGCTACAATAGCTTCCTCAAAGGGAAAAAGGTGTGTGTGCAGGCACGTGTTGGGACAGAGTGTCCGAGCAAGGTCACTGCCAGCTGTCACGGAGTGGTGGGAAGCCTCAATGCCGACACGGCCTCACCTTTGACTTGAGCGCATTCACGGGGTAGTAAACCAGGTTGGAGAGTCCCCAAGACTCTGTGTGAACCCTCCAATGACGCAGATTTTGCAGAAGACAGGCACCGAGGAAGTAAGGTGACCCCGGCAGCTGTAACCATGACAATATGGCCCTGGAAGAAGGTTCCCCAATGAGGAGCAATACCCCATTCTTAGGTGGTAGATTTTGGCCTGTGCACCATGATTTTAAGGTTCTGTAAAAAATCAGAACAAAATTAGCAGGGCTGGAGAAGACCCTAGTGATCATCTAGGTCATCAGCCCCTTTTTCACCCCGGGGAAGGGGAAGACAGGTCGTCATTTCCTCACACCCAATGGGAACACCTAAGTTTTAAAGCTGTAAATGACATTTCCATTCCTAGGTATCATTCTGTTTTTCTCTCAAACACACATGGCCCCGCCACCACTAGAAGGCGTTCCAGGAAGGTTCCGTGTGGTTCTGAAAAGGTGCAATGTTTCCCAGTGTGCCAGAGCCTTGAGCCCTGGTCTTCGGTGGCTCTTCCTGTGAGCTCAGCCGCCACTGAAGGCTCATCCAAGCATTTCCATTTCTGAGAGATTCCCGAGGCACCAGCTCACCCACTCTTGCTGTCAGTCCTCCCCCTGCCCCCCCAGAACTTCCGCATCCCCGGCAGGAGGTGATCCGGAATGCTGTGTTTTGGGTCACATAGTTGAAATTCAGGATTCATGATTTGCAGTCGTGATTTTATTTTTATCTGCCTATTAAAAGAGCTTTAGACCTGGGTGTTTAAATGCAGAGTATTTGTTCCTTTGGCAAAATCTCTTTTGACCTTTGCAAACACCCAGTTAATCAGCTAGTCCTTGACAGGGGCCTGCCGCTGCGTCTAATGGATGCGGCACGTGGGAATACCCATTCAGGTCATTGGCACGCTTGGCAGAAAGCACCCTCGGGCCCACTTCAATGCCCGTGCACCCTGATGAGTAAGACAAGGAGGACTTAACAACCTCCTGGCCCTTGCCCTATTGAAGGAACAAATTTTGGGTTCATTTTGTACCTTAAAATGTTAATTATCGTCGAGCATGCTCATTTTCTCTCCTGCTGCCTATAGAGCTTTGAGAACGAAAATAGCTTCCTCTATGCAAAGTGACAAGATTGTGGTTTTAATAACCCAACATGAGGTCTGTTGTTGATATTTGGATAATGAAACGTTTCTGTGCTCTTCAACGAGACCGAAAATGTTCTCTCTTCACCTGCTTCACTTATTTACGTATTTTTTGTCTTCCAGAGATTTTTTGATCTGGAAAGAGAGAATGCCTGCGCCACGAAAGAACAAAGGGATCACACCTTTCCTAAGCTGAACCGTAACAAGTACATGGTGACGGACGGAGCGGCTTACATTGGTAGGTGTGGGGCCGTGAGCCTTCCTGGGGCACCATGCAGGTTCATGGTGGGGGAGCTGCGCTGCGCACCCCGTGGCGAAGAAGCAGAGACCCTGGAGGCCCCACCAGGGAGGGGGACAGGGCGGCCCTGGAGGTCAGGAAGCAGGAGGGACATGTCTACAGCTGACTCACCTACTCAGAGACCACGGGAGATGTTTTTTCATGAATGTTTTGCAGAAAGTCTATGGTCCCTTTGCCTCGTTGTATGGGTGGGGAGGTGACTGACCCATCAGAGGTGAGTCCCAGCACTCGGGCGAGCACAGCGCCGCGCCGCCCCCGCCCCCCCGGCCCCCCCGCTCACAGTACCGCGGCCAGCCCGCTGTGAGTGACTGCAGAGGCCGTCGGAGTTGCTGCTGCCTGGGCCGCTATCCCTCCCCAGCCTCTTTTTAATAGTCTAACTTTAGACATTTTACTGAAGCTCCCTAAACCTCAGTCTTCTCATCTGTAAGCTTCTACCCCATTGGATGAAGATTATGCAAATATACATGCAAATCACCCGGCACATGGATCATCCCGATTCATGTTAGCTCTTCTTATTGAGGTAGTAAAGCTCCAGGTGCAGAAATCCCACTTTCTGGTAGAATTACTAACAAACGTATCAAATCTGCTCTACTTTGCCACTGTGTGTGTATGTCCAGGGTAACCGTTCGGCTGGTACCATCACAGGCAGAATGGAAATTATCTGTAAAGCCAGGCTGCGTACATCTCAAAGCAGCAACATGGTTATTATGTTGAGTAGATAACACGGCAGGGTTAAAGCAGAGAGGAAAAACATGCGGATAGCAGGAAGGACTGTGGAAACTGTATTTGTTTTCCAGATTCAGCGAGTGAGGAAAAAATATGCCATTTTAACTTTGTAAAGTGCTTTGTCTTATTTTTTTCTTCTGGCAACGTTGCCAGTGGCAAGGTGGTTTTTCTTACCTGCAGTTTAGAAACGAGGAGACGTGAGCCGTCAGGTACAAAAGGACTCCCACGTGCAGATGTAAAGGGAAAGGAGCGGGGTCTGGAATCGGGGTGCCCAGACCCCCCCGCCCTCCTCAGCCCTTCAGAAGACTCTGAAAAATCCAAAACAAAGATAAAAACCTCGCAGACAGACAACAGTATGGCGATGACCAGAGGGAAAGGGGGTGGGGGAGGTAGAAGAGGGTTGGGGGTGGGGTAAATAGTGACAGAGGTAGACCTCCCTCGGATGGTGAACACACAACATGATATACAGGTGATGTGTTAGAGAATCGTAAAACAAGTTAAAAATGGACAACGGAGACACTGTCGCCGGCCGTTGGGGAGTGGCGACCTCCCGGCTCAGCTTGAAGATGTCCTGCCGTGTTCCATTTGGACTCGTCACGGTGCGCATCAGTAAAACAGAGCACTGGAATTTTTTAAATGTGTGTCGTGTGGGTTGTTCTAGAATATGGGCCTATTATTTTGTTCATGTTGCCCCTCGCAGTGCCCCAAGAGGTGGTCATCTGAACTTTCTCATATTCATCAACTTATGGAGAGTAGAATGAAGTCAGCTACTTTGTAAGCAACTGAAAAAAACAACTCAAAATCGCTTAATCGAAAGTGAGAACTTTTGGCTCAGGCATTGGGAAACAGTCGGATGTGGGGACTCCGGTCTGCACATTTCGCCTGCAGGGTTTACTAAAAGTAAGGCGTTGTGTGTATACTCAGCAGTGACTCGTGCCTGTATCCAAAAGTGCTTTTCTTTTTAAAGATTTTATTTATTTATTTTAGGGAGGGAAGGGAGGGAGAAAGAGAAAGAGAGAAACATCAATGTGAGGTTGCTGGGGGCTGTGGCCTGCAACCCAGGTATGTGGCCTGACTGGGAATCGAACCTGTGACACTTTGGTTCGCAGCCCATGCTCAATCCACTGAGCTACGCCAGCCAGGGCCAAAAGTGCTTTTAATGAATTGAGTAAGTGTTTTGGAGTCAGACGAACCTACTTGGAATTTAAACACCGACACTCGCAAGCCAGAAGACAGTGGAGAGTCACGTATCCTCTCTCTGCGGACTCCTTATTTATAGCTGGGATGGTTTTATCCCACTCCCACCCTTTGGCGGTGACACAAGGAATAAATGAGATAATATATGAAAAGCCCCTAACACTGTCTCGGCTGTATCTATGGAGATCCTTAGTAAATATTCCTGCCTGGCTGTGTCCCTTCTTCCCTTATAATGCACTCTTAAAATAGGCTGTATTTTTCTAGAGACGTGTTAGGTTTGCAGCAAAACTGAGCACAAAGTACAGAGGCTTCCCATACGCCCTCTGCCCCCAAACATGCCCCCTAACCCTAACCCTAACCCTCCCCAGCCTCCTCCAGCAAAGGGGCACATTTGTCCCAGCTGATGAACCTACACAGTGACACATTGTAATCACCCCAAGTCCACAGCTTGCATTAGGGTTCGCTCTCGGTGCCGTACATTCTCCGGTTTTGGGCAAATGTGTAACCACAACATTCTTTGATGAGTATGACGTCATTTGTCGTTATAGCGACATGCAGAGTGTTTTCACTGACCCTACAACCCTCTGTGCTCTTCCTGTTCGCCCCTCCCTCCCCCCAGCTCCTGGCAATCGCTGACCTTGTCACTGTCTCCATACTTCTGCCTTTTCCAAAGTATCAAATATTTGGAATCATATAGTGTGTAGGCTTTTCAGACTGGCTTCTTTCACTTAGTAATATGCACTTAAGTTTCCTCCACGTTGTTCAATACTATTCTATTGTCTGCATCTACCATATTGTATCCATTCACCTACTGAAGGGACATCTTGTTTGCTTTCAAGTTTTGGCATTTATGACTAAACCGCTATAAACATCGTGTGCGAGTTTTATACTGAGGAGCATGGTTGCTGAATCGTATGGTAAGAGTGTGTTTAGTTCTGAAACACACCACCGAGCTGCGTGCCGAAGCAGCTGCACCGTTTCGCATTCCCACCAGCAATGAGTGAGAATGTCTGTGGCTCCGCGCCCTCCCCTGTACGGTGTCGCCAGGGCTCTGGCCTCAGGCTGTTCTAATGGGTGTGCCGTGGTGTCCTGTATTGTTTTACTCTGCATCTCCATGGCGACAGACGGTGTGCAGCATCTTTTCATGGACTCGTTTGATGACCGTATATCTGCTTTGCTGAGGAGTCGGTCAAGGTCTTTGGCCCCTTTCGTGATTGGGCTCTTCATTTCCTTATTGCTCAGTTTTACGTGTTCTTGGCAATTTGGGATAACAGTCCTTCATCAGACATGCATTTTGCAAATATTTTCTTCCAGTGTGTGGCTTATCTTGTTCTTTTCTTGGCCGCGTGTTTCACAGAGCAGAAATTTTTAGTTTTAACGAAGTTCAGCTGATTGATTATTTCTTTCATGGATTGTGCTTTGGTGCTGTATCTAATAATTCTTCACCAACCCCTGCTTCACCTACATGTTCTCCTAGGAGTCTTATACTTTTGCATTTCACATTTAGGTCTATGGGCCTAATTTTTGTGACGGGTGCGAGGTCTGTGTCGAGATTCATGTTTGCATGTAGGGACCCTGCTGTCCTGGCACCAGCACTTATTGCAAAGACTGTCGTTGGTCCATTGTATCGCCTTTGCTCCTTTGTCAGCATCAATTCGCCGTATTTCTGTGGGTCTATTCCTGGGCTCTGTGTTTTAATGCATTTTTAATTGTGTTTATTTTGCACGTAGCATTTGAGCAAAACATCAATTCCCCAGAGTGAAGCATAGGTCTAGTATAAAAATATCGAAAGGGCACCAAGAGGAAAAATCCATTGATAATTTAAATAATTAGCAGCATGTTCTGGAGAGCTGTTAAGTCAACACTCAGACACCAGCTGAGAATTCTGAATGAAGAAAAATCCACACTAGACCTTGCCTAGAATTATAGCTCTATTAAATTTCCATAAGACTTGCAGAAGAATCCCCAAACAGTGTCATCTCTCTACTGTTTAATTCTCCAGAGAATATTTGAGTTAAGGTTGGCAAACTCATCTGGAAGAGGGTTTGCATTAAGAGAGGACTGACAAGGGGGTGGTGGGTTGATCGGAGGCACTGAGGAGGCTCATCAAGGCCCATGTACCTGCCCAGCGAGTTCACCTGCACCATCAGCGTGGTGTTCCTGAGGGGGCACCACGGTTCTGGCAGATGGGGCCTACACCTGCGTTCTGGAAGCTGAAATGGCTGTCCCCAAAAGAGCTGGCAAAACCCTCCCAGCTGGAAAACACACTGAAGCATGGACTGTGATGTGGAGGCGGAGCCAAGCCCTCAGGAAGGGACGAAAACGCCAGATACAGGAACTCTCTGTGCAGCTTTGAAAATGGCCTGCAGCTAGAATTCCTGAGAAGACAATTCAACCTTTTGAGAACCAATAGATATACAGGGTTTTGCCTTCATCTATTGTATTGAAGGAAAAAGCTGAATCTCACACACACACACAAAGGCTTCAAAATCTCACCCCTTCTCCCCCCTCAGCTCCCTCCCTCATGCTACCCCGAAGCACATTTCTGTGGGTTTTCCCTTTAGAGAGTGTGTTTGGCAGGTGAATGGAGCAGAGCTCCCAGTGTGGCTGAAGCACCAACCCTGGGCTGACGTTCAAGTCCACGGTGACGTGCATAGTTAGCACAACATATGTCTGTAGGATCAGAGGGCACAGGGAACAGAAGTGAAATGCGGACCCCGGAGTCAGATCTGGCTTCGCACCTCGCCCCGATGCTTTTTCACTCCCACCTTGGACAAACGACCTAGTCTTTCTGGGCCTTAATTTCCTCATCAGTGTAATGGAGTTCACATTATCACCTAGGAGGGCTGCAGTGAAGATTGAATGAGATAGTGTTGATGAGAAAAAAATGTACTGCCTTTGCTCCTATGCCTGGCCCTTAACTGTAGGGGTGGGATTTTAGTTCTTGAAAGGAGGAGCCTTTTGTTTCTGTAACGAATAAATGATGCCAGCAATGAGCAGACTTCAGAGTAACTCTCAGCCTGCGGTAGCCGCTCCCCCGGTTGAGGTCCCAGCCCTTGCTCGCCTGGCACTGGGCCTCTGCTCAGAGCCGCGGCCTCTGAGGGTGGCCGTGCGTCTGGGAGCACATTGTGGGGAACACAGCACCAGCAAAGGGGGTCTGTGCAAGGAGACCCCAACGTGGTATATGAACCATGTAGTAGACATCTCACCCATGTATAGGAATAAAATTCATCCAAAATTATGTCTATCGTGAAGCTACGGACAGCATCTTGTAGTGTTTTGGGGGGTGGGGTAGGGGCGAGATGGAGGAGAGAGGTAAGGAGAAGAGTTCCTTCTGTCGGCTGATCACATCTGACTTAGGCACCTGGCAGTAGGCCCCGAGGAACAAACCTGAGTCAAGTGGGAGAGACAAGGGAATCTCCTTCCCGTATCCCAGGGGTGCCGTATGGAAGAGGGTGTCGATAGGCCTGAGGTCATCTCATTCAGCAAACTCTCCTGCAGCGGTGCCTGAGACGCTGCTGCGGTGATGCAAAGTCAAGTTCACACTTCACACGCCTCCCGCTCTCCCATGGAACCAGCTCAGGACCAAAGAGGGGAGCACAGCTGAGAGCTTAGGCCAGACCCAGGTTGGTGGTAATTTAGGAAATAACCTTGTTAGTCTGGACGCAGCTAAATCTTTTTTAGGGAGAATCATTTTTCGTGTATGGCATTGTGGATCGTTTATGGAACTGGCCGATCGGGTCCACCCTTGATTAGCCATGTGATGGGCAACTTTATTCACCACTTTGAGTCTCACCCTCCTCATCTGTGAAGTGGATTTGAATCCTGCTGCCACGTGAGAAAATGTAAATAATAGGCCCAGTGTCCCCCTCATAAGAGGCATTTAATAAATGACAGCTCCTCCACCCTCCAAGTCCCTTGTCCTGTCTTCATCCCTAGCCCCTCCCTGCCATGCTCCAAGATCCGAATCATATTTTTATCACGTCCTTTTGGGGGTATGGCTCCCTAATTTCCTAATTAATAAATGTCTATGAGTCTCCCATTGCTCCATAAAATGCCCCCTTCTTGACTTGTCCAGCTAGAGTTAGATATTTCTTTCTCCTTCCGACTCCAAAATATGGGAGGAAAAAAGGCATTAATACAATCAGTTTGATGTCAAAACCTTATTTTTAATTATAGAAGGCATTCCCAAAAAAGGTTTATAGAAACTGATTTTTAGAAGATTCATTTTATTGTAAATGAACAGAAAAACATCTATTAGAATTTTGGTAAAGTTTTCATCAATGAAAAATCACCTTGCGAGGGGAAAAAAGAGAAATTTCTTGCTCTCATGGCATCGTCTGCACACATCAGGTGTGCTATCTCGTGCACCTTGTATTATAATTATTTTGATTCCCTCCTGGGCTCCCCCAAGGCAAGGATGGTCGTTTCTGGGTCTGTATCGTGGCCCCTAACACAGGACCTGGTTGACATTAATTAGATGCTCAGCACATGAATGTTAAATGAAGGGCAGAGAACAAAGACAGACATGGAGCTGTTGCCTCCCAAGGAGAACTGTGTCCCGCTGGGGCCTCTCCCGGTTGGATACCAGGCGCGATTTTTGAGTGGGAGTTTTGGGTGGCTCAGCCCTCGGATCTACTCCTGCCCTGAAGACTGACCACGTGGGAGCAACTCCGACGTGCTTAGCCCCTCCTGGGACACATCCCAGCCTTAGCATCTGTTACAGGCCCAACCGTGTCTCCCCAAAACCATGTCATGAAGTTCTAATCCCCAGTCCCTCAGAATACGACCTTATTTGGAGATAGGGTCCACACAGAGGTACCCAAGTTACAGTGAGGGCATTCGGGAGGGCCCTGATCCAAATTGATGGGTGTCCTCTAGGAAAAGGGGACATTTGGACACAGACACGCCCAGAGGGCAGACAGTGTGAAGCGCCGGCCATCCATAAACCAGGGAGAGAGGCCTGGACAGACCCTTCCCGCACGGCCCTCCCAGGGAACCAGCCCTGCCCACACCTCGATTCTGGACTTTTAGCCTCCAGAACCGTGAAACAGCACGCTTCTGTCGTTCAAGCCGCCCCGTCTGCGGTATGTCCTTACAGCTGCCTCAGCACATGGATGCGCTTTCTATCACCAGGCACTCAGAGCGGGGAGCCCCTGGTCTGAGGAGAGGGACCCAGAAACCAGATTGGCTGAAGCCCGAGCAAGGTGTATACTTGCATATTTAGAGTGGAACTGCTTCTCCTTCTGTGGCTTTTTCTTTGATACGAAAGCATCCGAGCATGATAATTAGAACCCCTCCTTTGTCCCAATGGATTAAGATGTTGTCCCCGCAAAGGTAGTAATCATCCATAGGAGTTTTCAGTGGATTCCTGAATATTTTAAATGTTGCTGTGTTTACTGTGCCTTGTGAATGTCAATAAGAAATAACATTGACAGAAAAGAACAGCAGATTCCTTGTTTTCAGTTTCAAGATGAGCAAAGCTGAGGAAAATGCCAAAATAACATGCAACTATTAATCTGCCATATGTAAGGCTTCTTGAAATTTTTTTTTCTGAGTTGTCAACACAATTTAGCCTCCCTGACGCTATCCCCGGGTGTTTATTATGTTTTGTTTTTTTTTAACAGAAGCTGCTGCGTATTTCACTATATGGGGAATAGTCTCCAGTGGGGACTCACCATTATTTCCTTTGTTTGTTTGCAGGGAATTTCGACTGGGTGGGGAATGATTTTACCCAGAATGCGGGCACGGGCCTTGTGATCAACCAAGCAGACGTGACAAATGACACAAGCATCATCAAGCAGCTGAAAGACGTGTTCGAGAGGGACTGGTACTCGCCCTACGCCCGAAGCTTACAGCCAACCAAACAGCCGAACTGCTCCAGCCTGTCCAGATTCAACCCCACCTCCGACAAAACTGTCACCTACAACGCGAGTGGGAAGGACCCCGCGAGTGTCTAACACGTGAATGAACACGCTGGTGGGACTGCTGGTGTTTCATATTTATACCTAAAGGACTTGAGGAGAGAAAAACAATTTAATATGTCTTTTTTTAGGGAAAAAGCACACTTATGGAAAATAATCTCTGATACGCCATGTAATATCTACCCGGATCTTAGCGGCGTGTACATGCAATTTAAGACTTTTGTATTTGTTACTTCTGACAGAGAATGTCATTCCAGCTTGGAAGTTAGTTTTTATGTTTGCATACCAATTTTAAGACTTTGACGCCTCTTTCTAGTTTTAGAACTTTTTCTGCTGACTCACGTGGTCAGTTCTTAGGAAACTTAGCATGAGGTAAGCTCCTTACTATTCTGAGAACTACCAACTTAGGGAAGAATGAGGAATTCACCTTAAACAAGAAACCAAAACAAGAATTTATCCCTGTAAACTATTTCTGAGACCTATACAGTCATCTTAGCATGAAGTTCTCATGCCACCCTTTAATACTCTTGAAAAATACTTTTTTTTGCCTCCTCCTTGTTCATTTTCTCCTGGTACCATAAATTTGTTTCATATCATTTTCTCTTCTCACAAAATGTTCTTATGAAATAGCGTCTTATATTCACCTCAACATGAGGTCCCCAAGTACGTCAATATTTTTTGAAAGTGTATGAATTCCTCAAAATGGATACCAAATGGAAATAGCAGCCTTTAAGTTTCACCTTTCAGCTGCATTTTTTTCTCTACCAAGTTGATATTTTAAAATCACAGCCAGCAATATGTACCCTTTCTCTCAAGCTCAGAAAAATTATATAGCCACCTGCTAATATCCAGCTAGCTATGAAGCCTGCATTATAGAGAATAAAGTAGTTTTTTACATTTTTGTTTAGTTTATGGTATTAGAAAAGAAAGATCTCTATGCGTTAGCGGGTTTGAATTTCTTTAGAATCATTACGCTGTTAAGAGTATGCCAGCAAACGTTTATAGAGCTATTTAATATACCTTCTGCTATTTAATATACCAAATGCGATTTAAATACTCTGCTTAACATATTTTACTAAGAGACAAAAATATTGGATTATTGTTCTATAATGTCCTTGTGTGTTGTTTTATATCTATCTATACGATGTATAACCCTATATTAACAGAGACTGTTGCCACAGCAGAGAGAGGCGTGGCCTCTTCAGAGCCCAGGCGGCCTCGGGATGTCCAGTGTCCATGTTGCTCCTGACTCTCTCCTTGGCCTCGGGTTTCTATGGGTAATGTAGGGACAGGAAATACTCACCTACCTCGCGAAGATGTTGTTACGGTAGGAAATATTTATAACTTGTTTTGAAATCAAAAGAACCTATATAAATGCTAAGCATTATGATGTAGAATCTTTTCCTTGAAATAATCTTTGTGGTATCCTGATAGAATCCGTCTACCAGGTTCTCCCAGAGAACCGACAAGGGGAAACAAATTCACAGCTTCTGGTTGCAAAGGTGGAGGAACACAGCAGTGCAAATGCCCTGCTGGACATCGCGACCGTCACCCTTGTGTTGGGTCACTTTGGCATAAATAACAGCAAAACATAAAACTCGACATTGTGCGAAGGGCTGTTCTTTGGGACTGGTGTGTCCTTGTGCTTTGAGAGCAAAGAATTGGAGTCTTCACGACATTTTCTTCTAATTCTAGAGATCTGATTTCTAAATATGCCACCAAGTGGTGGAGGAACCCGTGAGTCTTATCCAGTAGGTTTGCTTGGTGTAGAAAGCCTATTGTTAGGTATCTAGCAACCACATAGCTCCTTTCCTTGTTGTTTCCAAGTATTGCTTTATTGAATATTTAACAGACAGTGAAGAGAGCTATATTTTTAAGGATAGCATGTTTTTTATGAATGATTGGAGGATTCTTAATGAAATTCTTCATCAGTAATAGCCGGCCCACAAGGCTCCAAATATTCACCATATACCCAATCCCTGTTTGAATGGGAAGTTGTCCAGACAAGCAGCTCGGTAAAGTAAAGGTGGTTTGGTTGGTGATGGAAAACCAGAGCAAGCAAGTGAAGGGCAGGCGTGGAGACAGACACCACGTTCCGTCCTGGGCAAAGAAAGCCAACCTGGGCTGCGTTTGAAAAGGACATATGAATGGAGGACAGATGGCTGCTCCCTGGCTAGTTTTGTCTCCTGAGGGGTTTGTGACAGACACAGGAGGAGTGCCAGCTTGGTGGAAGGGGCCCCTTTGTTGTCACTATCTTTCACAAGTCATGGGACAAGAGAATCTTGTCCTCTATGAACTGACCATCAGAGCCATTTCCCTCTAAGTCCCATCAGAAGGTAGCCCCAGGACCTGTGCCCCGGGACTTTCTGCCACACTCCAGCAGCATCAGAGCCCCGCTTGGCCCAGCAGCCCCCCTGTTCAAGGTGGCCCAGGCCGCCGCCCCCAAGAGGTGACGCTGGCCTTCTGTGGCAGCCCGGGAAACAGCCCCGGTGCACAGTGTTGTAACTGGCTCCACGTCTCCCAAGACATTTCATCCTGCAGAACTTTCTTTTTCATTTGGACGCTTTGTCTACCCCTCCAGGAAAGGTCTTCCCCGCTTTTAGACTGTGTCTGTGCTGTACAGACTACCGACTTCCATTTCCCCCACAAACGTCCCAGGGGTGACCTCCCGGGGGTGGGGGAGGGAAAGCAAACACAAATCTGAGACTGTATTTTAGATTTCTGTGCCACTTCCATTAACCTAGTGCCTTACGTAACCCCAAGCATTGCTTTTGAACAGTGATTCACTACATGAGAAACGTCTGATGGGCCTTCCAGGTGAAAACTTGTATACGAGTGTCTGCACATTCCATGCAGCCTGCTCTTCCCCAGCCACACAGATCAAATGGTTGACACACACTCAAATATCAATTCTGTGGGTCCCCACTGCATTGCCACAGGCCACTAGCATATCAAATCATTGCATCACAGCTAATCAAACCACCATAGAGGACACAGAACATTCTGGATTATATCCATGCTCTGGAGACAGCACACTTTGAGAACCTGAAAATGACAGAAGCAAGGCACACTGAAAATGTCCCCACTGTCTTTAAAAGACCCTGTGAAGGGATACTTCAAGGACTTCTGAAGTCTCATGGGACGTGGAAGGAAAACCAGTGTCTTTAAAAAAGTCAAAGCAGAGCCAGTAAAAGAAATGAAAGGGCTGAGGATGAACTTGGCGTCTGTGTAGCGCTGGGCACCCCTTTTCCCGTGGGGCTGTGCCTGTGCTCTTGCTTGTCTCGCTTCTGATCTGGTCCTGGGGCGGATGAGCCCGATCACCGTTCTGGTTGATCATCCCCTTTGAAAACTGTTCTGTCGCTGCAGTTCAAAGTGCCTCACAGAACCTGGGATTGGCGGCAGCGCCTCTCCCCAGCCTGTGGCCATTCTCAAGTGACTTTGATTCATTCTGAGTTTTCTGTTTGGGTTTAAGAACTTTTATTGAACTCAGTTCTAAGGGAAAAAATGAAAAGACTGTAAGAATTTCTCGATAAGATCAGACCCAGGGTCCGGCTGTCTCAGGAATTCTATCTCAGAATCTGCCTTTTTATCACGTGTGACCACTTGTGTGAGTTTCTTTGTCCAAAATCCATTCCATTATGATTAACATTTAAGGAGTGCAAAAAGCTGCCTTCACATGCAACAGAACAATGATTGTCTGTCGTGAAAGGTACTTTGGTGTGGGTTTTTCAGACTCAGTCCCTTCTCTATATAACAGCACCATCTATTGTGGACAAATGTACGATTCTTCAGTTTTCTGCACTTAGTCTCAGTGAGCTGGTACACTTTATTATAAGCATTTTTTAAATTTATTTTTATTTGAGTATAGGTGGTATACAATCTCGTATTGGTTATTTTAGTTGCAGGTGTACAATATAGTGATTCGACATTGTTATATCTGACAATGCGATCAGCCCACTAATTCTAGCACTCATCTGTCACCGTCTGAACTGAACACAGTATTGTTGACTGAATCCCCCTGCTCCTTTTCACCCCGCCCCCGTCCCTCCCCTTTCCTTCTGGCAACTGTCCCTTTGGTCTGTTTCTGTCTCTTTTTATTTTGTTTGTTGTTTGGTTTTTGTTTTTAGATTCCACGTATAAGCGAAACCATGTGGTATTTGCCTTTCTCTACCTAACTCATTGCAGTTTAGCATAATCCCTTCTGGATCCATCCATGTTGTTGCACATGACAAGATTTTATTCTTTTTTATTTCTGCATAATATTCCATTGCATATATGGACATCTTCTTTATCATTTCTTCTATCAACACACACCTAGGTTGCTTCCGTGTCTTGGCTGTTGTAGGTAGGGCTGCAATGAATATAAGGGTACACATACCTTTTCAAATTAGTGTTCTTATTTCCTTTGGATTAATACCCAGCAGTGGAATTGCTGGGTCATATGGTATCTATCTAGCTTTCGTTTTTTGAAGACTATCCATATTGTTTCCCATAGTGGCTGTCCCAGTTTGCAGTCCCACCAACAGTGCAGAAGGCTTCCTATCAGCCTTTTTGAAGGAGAAATTCACATAATGTCCGTTTGGCCTAAGGTAGGTTGGATGAATTCATATTTACCATTGTTCCATCGGCTAAGATATAGCATCTTTTCCTTGTGTATGCTGGTAACCAAGTGGGTATTTATTGTTTTTACCTTATTCCTTTACATTCGTGGGAGCCTTCCAGCAGCCCTGAGGCCAACCTCCGTTCCTAGCCTGCCCTTCCCACTTGAGAGAATTTCCATCTTTGGCCGAATCATGAAGACACTACTTTTTATGGTGACTGCTTAGGTATCCTCCAGAAGTTTTTCAAAATTGTAAAAGCTGGATTTTCTTATTTTTGACCCATTAGCTGTCTTGTATTTACAGAGTTCTACAAAAGGTCACTGATGGCTTGCGTGCCTTCTGGCAATTTGATGAAATGTGAGATTGAATAGACCATGATGCATTTTCCTTTACTATGTTTAACTACTAAACTTCTAATTCTCTTACGAAGGACATCTTGAATTTTTAATGTCTCTTTATGTAAATAGGATAAAGTTGTACCAGGACATATCTATATTATTAACCTTAAGATACCTAAATAAATTGGTGTGATAAAGGGCTGAATTTGGGAACATCATTAAAATTCTGAAACCTTTTGTACAGCCAAGTGCTCACTTTTTTTGGATAAGTATTATATATATTTTTTATTCCGTGAGATGAGGCATTAATGTTTTTCTTCACCTTGACTTCGGAAACAAGCCAGTCCCGCTGAGTATCCCAGCTGTTCTCCAAGTGATGAATACGTACCTGCAGCTGCATCAATGGGCTATGTCCTGCCCATGTGGTATATTTGCCCAGGGAGGCATCTTTGCAACAACATTCCTGTCTCTCTAAAAAATAAGTGTGTGTCCAACATGTCTTGGTTTTGAGTCAGTACAATTGGATTTTGTAGTGAAGAAACCATTGGAGAGACCAGGCCGTATGTCCTGGCCCAGGGACAGAAAAGGCATGTGTGGATACGATTTCAGCTGCCTCCGCTACTTCCCCACCACATGCTTCTTTCCAGGCTTAAACCCACAATCAAAAACTCCTGCTCGCTACACAATAAACCCATACTGAATCACAGGTTTAGAGAAGACCCTGAAAACCGCCCAAACCAACCCCTCCAGATGCACAAGTTTCCTTCCCATTTGGCAAAACCAGAAGTTGAAAGTTTACTCCAGCCAAACATGTCTGAGCTCTTGGTACGATGCCTTTCATAAGACCCACACAGAATACAATTGCGTTGATTCGCTGAAGGAAATTAGATGTGAGGCAAAGCCTTATCCATAAAAAAAATGTGTATTCTATGTGCACACTGTAGGTGACCTTTTTATAAAGAAATCTGAAGAGACATGCTTTTCTAAAGCTGTCGTTTGGGGGTTTAGCGAAGGCTGAATAAAGCCAGCTTTCGGAATCCGCCACAGTCAATCAGAATTTGATTTGATCAGCAGGTTCCGAATCCTTCGGTTTGTGGGCTTTGTTTTCAGTTGGACTCAGTCTGGCACGAGAACAGTCTGTGCAAGGAGCCCAGTTAAATCGCAGCGAGGGGGAAGGTTATTGAGGATTCATTTTTATGTCAGGTGGGGCAGAAATTAGTAAGGAAACTATTTTATGTTTACAAAAGGGATACCTGGCTCTCAAACCCATTCCTGTTAGCTCAAGACACACTGGAAAATTGTGAATTCCCTTATGGACTCTACTGTCGTCCAGGGGTGGACAGTTCTCAGGAACAGTTGAGAAATCTTGAG